GATTTTAAATGAGACCGTGGGACGTGGTAATAGACAAGCTTCCAAGGCTATGGGGCCAGTCTGGAAAAGGGACTTATCACAAAAATGTGATTTATGTATTTCTCACAATGAAGCTTTTTTGTTTATCATCTAAGACTACAAACATGTCTCTTTTGAAGCTGTCAGTATCACATTTAAGGCATCTAGAAAATCAAGCACCTGGGATTTTCCCAACTCCTTCTTTTATCATCTCACAGATAGACCTTTTAAAAATAATTCAAAACAAGTGGGTGAAGCCAAGTATTTGCTCATAGCATAAGAATGTATTTGTGACAAAACTGTTGTGCAACTGTGCGCATCTGCACTGGTACATGATCCTAATACCATAAAGAAGATACAAAATGGGTTCATCTGCTTCCTTCAAGGTTTTAATACTGTGGATTTTTTTCCTTCCAGATGAGAAGGCTCTCCCGCATATTTATAGATCAAAACATTTGGAGGGCCAAAAATCCTTCACCCCAATGCTTGAGAGCCTAGAGAAGACATGAAGGAGAAAAGAAGAGAACCACTTGTGAAAGCCAGGTTCAAGAGTAGGATTTTGATTTTGTATATACCATAGACTGGACCAGGGTACAATTCTATATAGTAAGTTTGTTCAAATCAATACAATGTGAAACAAAACAAAACAGGTTCTTACTATGGCACTGCTTTTTTCAGGTCAACTATTGATTGGAGTTCACCACCCTCAATTTTATAGACATCTATCTACATATATACATAGTCACAGCTCTTTTTTAATTACTTCAATAATGTCTATCCTTCCCTCCTTTAAAAAATTGTCCAAATTGGCTCTCATGAAACATTTTTCACCAATGCCTTTGGCTAGTAAATGAAGATGATCTCCATCAGAGTTTTGGAACAACAATCTGGTGTCCTCCAGGTATTCTGGATTACAGCCCCACCATTAGTGACATACTGCCTAGGACTGATGGTAACAGCAATCCAACATGCAAAAAGGCTGCTGGTGAACACTTAATAGCCATAAAGTACTAATGCAATCACTGGTATTTATCCCTTCTCTATGTATGAAAAAATATTTCCTTCTAAAAATACAACACTCTACTCTGAAGTATTTATACACAAAGAAAACAAAAACAAACCTCATGCCTAGATCATCTGAATAAAACTTTGATTCTGTTTCAAACTAACAATACTTCTGCATTTACTTCACACCATTCACTATTTAATGTTCTCATTAACCTCAGAAAAGGCTTCAACCTAAATGAAGGGAAATACCTAGAGCAGAAGTTCAGTACCTATTGCAAATGAGTGCTTGTGACAATCACATACCCACTCAGCATTTTTCATCTACAATCAACCAGAAGCAAAAGAATGCATTTAATGGTAAATGGCTGTTGGCCTGAATCTTTCTTCTCATGTTAACATCAGGTATAAACACTTCAGCTTTGACTAACTTTATGACTGCTTCTTACCATGAGGAACAGTGTCCAACAGCAAACCTAGCAAATAAATTGAGTGCAAGATAAAGACTAAAATGCTCTATGGTTATTAAAGTAAACTCACTGAATTAATTCTTCGATGGTGAGTCTACACATACATAAATCCCTCTGATTCAATGGGGCCCCTCTAGTTGAGAGCAAAACAGAACTGCTCTGATTCTGAGAACTAATACCAAAAGGTGCAGCTACTACTGCAAAAGTATCAGTGAGGGCTAGTTCTGGAAATATACAATGCAGTGGCTTGCTGTGAGTTTTCCGAGCTGTATGGCCATGTTCCAGAAGCATTCTCTCCTAACGTTTCGCCTGCACCTATGACAGACATCCTCAGAGGATGTGAGGTCTGTTGAACAAAATCTGGCTACCAATATTAAAAAACCTCTAAAATCAGGATAGCAAATAAAGAACAATACTTAGAAAACATGAGAATTCCAGTCAGAAAACAATCGGGGCCAGATAACACCTCCCAGGCAATAAGCAGCCAGTCCTTGTATCTGCAAGGCCATTCAATGCCAATCAAGGTGGTCAATTGCTACATTAACACTTGTATCAAACAGACACGAGTTCTTTCTCCCACCCTGGGCTTTCTACAGATATATAAACCCCTCTTGCTTCATTTTCAACAGACCTCATAACCTCTGAGGATGCCTGCCATAGATGAATGCAAAACATCTGGAGATCATGCTTCTAGAAATGGCCATACAGGCCAGAAAACTCACAGCAAACTAGTGATTCCCGCCATGAAAGACTTTGACAACACATAGATACAATTCAGTTTGACACTACTTGAACTGCCACTGCTCAAAGCTATGAAATCAAAGGAGTTATAGTTTTACTAGGCCTTCAGCCTTCTCTGCCAAAGAGTGCTGGTGTGCTTCCCCAAAGCACAACTCCCTGGAGCCTAAGTCCCAGGGAATGAAGTGGGACTTATTATTATTATTATTATTATTATTATTATTATTACTAGACTCTCAGTTAACTGGAACTTAAGTAACCAGAACTCTCAAGCAATCAGAAAAAAACTTTAAATTTTAAAAACTTTAAATTTTAAAAGCTGGTTTTATAATACTGTGTTACACTAAACCATATTAAGCAGATAAACGGAAACAACATTTAGACATTTAAAACATGGAATTAAAATATTAATATGAATATAAACATTAAAATCACATAATCCAAGGCCTTTCCAAATGTCCATCCTTGTCTTTACTTTCTCTCTGAGGACCATGCGGGAGGGTGCTGATCTAATTTCGTTAGGGAGGGAGTTCCACAGACGAGGGGCCACCACTGAGAAGGCTCTGTCTCTTGTCCGCACCCGTCCCCACAACCTCTGAGGATGCCTGCCATAGATGTGGGTGAAACGTCTGGAGAGAATGCTTCCGGAACATGGCCCAGAAAACTCACAGCAACCCATATCTCTCTCTATATATATAAGTATGGCTGAAGTTACAATTAAAAATGTACCTGCTCCAATTTACATGGAAATTCAACTTAAGAACAAATCTACAGAACCTAACTTCGAAACTTGGCTATATTAATAATAATTTTATTAATTAGCCCTTAGGTCATATCACAATACCAAACAAAAACAAGGCTTGATAAGATTTGATTGCACTCTATGTTGTAAGTTAAAATAAGACATAACAATACAGTAAATATATATTATAAAACTGAATATATACATATTACCTTATCACCCTTACGATTTACCCTGATAAGCCCCACATATGTGGTTCTCAAACGTATTATTTTACTTAAATACAGAGATGTTTTATATGTTAATTTTGGGTCTTGGCCACACATAAAATATATTGTTCTGATGTGAGATTCCCAATACATTGTCTGTTTGATGTATGGACCATGGTAAAAGTCACTCACCTTCTGATACAATTTACAATCAAATAATTTGTTTGCTATATCCTCAATTTCAGGTGCTCCACAGATACAAATCCGCTCATTATAAGGGATGCTGTTAAATCTCCCATATCTGACCATTGTATCAAGCTGACCAAATCTAGCTCGAGTGAACACGTCCCTAAAATGTTTTGGTATTTGCATTTTTAGATAGTTGGCAATTTCAAAGGTGCATTTATATTGACTCAGCCATTTTAGGTTGGCAACCTTACTGAGGGTGGTTATATCTTTTTGTGCTTATGTGTCCAAAATTATTTGTGTAGCACTCTTACATTTATTTATAGTATTTATGTATATCCTCCTTCCCTCTGTCGATCAAGCCCTAAAATGACTTGGCATGGGCAAAGTTGGATCTTCCTCCAGGTGTTTTGGATGTCAACTCCCACCATTCCTAACAGCCT